ATTGCTCCAGAAGGCAGCCTTCCTTCTAGCAATAGCAACAGGTACGAGAATCAGTAAGCTGATTTCAATTTCCAATAATCCATCATTATTGGTATTTTCTGAGGAAGATGTCGCTCTTTTTCCTACAGGATAAAACGGCTAATGGATGAGGCAAGGGTTCCTCATATATTGTGCCCAGTTAAGATTCTTCAAGAATGGTTAACCAGATTCCCTAATCGAGGCCCCTATGTATTCTCATCATAGGATGGTAAGAAATTGTCTCCTAGTCAAATGACAAAATAGTTTTCTCAGTTGGTGAGTCAAGCAAACCCTGGCAAAAAAAATTTGGCACATGACACCAGGAAATAAGCAGGGTCTGTGGTTTTTCTGCGGCATGTGAGCCTCAGTCAGATCAAAGAAGTGAGCTTTTGGAAATCTTCAAAAACCTTTCAAAACTGCCATCTTCATCTTTCTCCGAAAGATGCTTCACAAGTGGTGGTGCTGGGGTCCCCTCCCCCCAACCTAGTCAATCTCCACAACCAAAACCTTTTTCTTCATCAGAATAAAGTGAGTATCCTCATTGAGATATGTAAATTAACATTTTACCTTCCGGTAAATGTTCCTAATATTGGAAAATATTCCAAAAACTTTATACTGTAATTATAATCTGGACTTAAGCTAGCGGAGCCTTATACGCAATGTCACCTCCCTCTCCACCTCCTGCTCGGGTAATCAAAGCTAGACGTTGCATTCTGGACTGAACAAAAATCCTTTTTTTTTTCTTCTAAAAACCAGATTTTGTGATAAAATCCAGAATGCGACGTCGACATCCCACCCATCTCCACCCTTCGAGAGTTGACTTTTGTTTCCTGCTCGCTCTAGAGCAAGAGATAACAGTAGCAATGCATGTGATGGAGGGTGCGGGAGGGGGTTTTGAGAATTGCAATTAAATGCCAGGTAGCGACGTGTCCTCCTAATATTACGTATTTAAGTAATTATTAGATGTTTTAATTGTCTGTATGTTGGCCTGGCGAATTAATGCTTGGCATTTACATACCTAGGTGTAAAGCTACATGTCACATTCTGGACTATATCACAAAAACTGTTTTTTAGAAAAAAACCCAGCTTCTTTGATGTACAATATTCTATCATGAATAACAGCAATGGTAGAATGAAAGAGGCAGAATGTTGGTGAGATACAGTGGGGGTGTGGGAGGGAGGAGGTGGTGAGGAAATGATGCGTCAATCGGTTTGTTTGGTAACACTGGCTGCACCACTGCCATACACAATTGAATAGCTGATGTCTACCCACAGAATTGATTGTAAGTATAAATGACCAACGTCATATTCCTTCTACATTACGTTACATAAATTTTAAATTACGGAGTGAGAATAACAAATAAACAATGCACAGTACAGTACTGTACAATATTGTATTATCATGAATGACAGTCATATAATGAGTGAGAGAGGCAGTGTCGGTGAGAACAGTGGGAGGGAGGAAGGAAGGTGAAATTATTATTTAGGTGGTGATAATAGAGGTAGTGGTGGTGGTGAGAAAGCAGAAAGGTGGGGGTGACTTACCTTTTGTAATAGTAGAACATTCTTTCGTTAATTGACAAATGGGTGGTAAAAACTTGCTTTCATTATCGTGTGGATTTGTTCAAAGGATTAATGTTCAATGAGGACTTACTGTATTGTATAATCCTGAGTCCCTGACCCCCCTCCCCTACACTGAAAATTACTCACCCGGTAATCTCCCCTCCTGGCTGTCAACACCTCACCTCCCTTTCCCCCCTCCTCCCAACCAGAAGACAATAAGGATTTTAGAGGGTGAAGTGCTTTTAAACTTAAAGATTTTGTCGTATAAAATGTTACAGACTTGACTTAGCAGAATATAACTTGCATTGCTGGAATCCTTGCAAGATAGCGTTTAATTTGAGTATAATCATCTCTTAGTTTGCACAAGAGATAAAATTTTTAATCCTTTAGCTTAGTATATTTGAGTACAGTAATATGTTGCTCAAAATTATGACTTTTTCACAGGGAAAAGTCTGCATAACTAACCCCAGTGTTCAGGATATAATGGCATTGAATGTTACAGAATATTTCAAATTAATCCTTCGTTTAGTTCTGAACGTATACAGTGGTCCCTCGGTTAACGAACACCTCGGTTAACAAAATTTTGATTAACGAATTACCTTCCATAAGAGTCTTCAATTCGGTTAACGAAAAAAAAAATTGATTAACGAAATCCTTACAAAAATCACGTTTTGTTTTGAACATCAGCTGATAAGCTGAGGAGGTACTCAGCCAATTCAGTAATCTCTTCTATGTTTACATTTGTTTCCATTGGAGTAAATATCAAGAAAATTTTACTCTTTAATATTTGTGCATTTTTATACAGTACTGTATTAAAGTTATTGGTCATTCTAAAATTTAGCCATCCAAGCTCTGTCTACATAAAGTTTTTCAACTATTATTTTTGGCTCGATATATGTAACTTTATTCATTTATTGAAACTCATTTACATGCACTCACTGTCCTAAGGGCAAAGCTGAACTGTACATGTAACCAGAATAATGTACAAAATGATTACTAAAATTTTTGTCTAGTGCAAACTATGGCATGTTTACATTCAAATTAATCACTATCTTATAAGAATTCCAGCAATGTAAATTATATTCTCCCGGGTCACTTCTATTAAATTATATGAGCAAAAAACAAAAACTCAATCACAGCGAATAATTTGAATATAGCGTCATATTTTGCACAAGAGATAAATTAATCACCTGTATCACATTACAGCAGTGATTTAAGAGTTCTAGTGTATATTGACATTATATACAGTAATACCCGCTTTACGTGGTTCTGGTTTCACGCGTTTCTACATTTACACGGTACCCTGCCAGAACCGGAATTCCCACTAGCGGTGCATCTACCATATACTCAGGTGAAGTATAATTTTTTATTTAGCTCATAAACTTCATACAAATTACCGGCCAGAATATAATTTACATTGATGGAATTCTTACAATATGATGATCATTTTGAATAAAAGCATCATGGATTTTGCATTAGACATACAAATTTTAGATCTAATGTAAAATTTTTGTTTACACAGAGCAAATATGTTATCTTTTGTGCAAAAATATAGCGTGTATATTCAAAATATTCCTGGTCTTGCAAGGAATCCAGCAATGTCAATTATATTATCTAACTTTAGTCTGAGGTATTATTTATTACTATACCTTAAAATCTAGTGTTTTCACCCAAACATTTCTCAGAGGGGAGGCCAGCGTGGGGAAGAGGGTGGGGGGTTGGAGTTGAGTCCATTATTTGAATGGACATTAACCTGGCGACTGTATTTCTCTTAAATATTAATTGTGTGTGCATACCATCATAAAATTAAGATGTTATTTTTACTACAACATAGGTATTGTGTCGGTATTGTGTGCGCAAAAGTGGAGTTTGGGAGTCGGCCCAGTCTCTATTTCAATTAATCCCATATGTTCTGCTATTCCATTTCCGGGTTTCTCGTCTTCTCGGACCTCCGCGGGTTCAATTGACTGCGTAAATTGGGGTATTATTGTATACTGTATATAGTGATTTAAGGGCGATTTAGGGGAATTTTAGGAGTGTTTCTGACTTTATCTGTTTTGGGCTTTACTTTGTATATACTTTTCTGTGAGCTGGAACCAATTACCCAATATTCCATTGAAATAATGGTTTCGGTTAACGAAATTTTCGGTTAACGAACGACCTTCTGGAACGAATTGAGTTCGCTAACCGAGACGCTGTATGCGAATTCACATAGTGAATGTGCAAAAGCGAGGGTCCAGTGTACAGTAAACTTGTGCCATAGCACTAGCACTTTGTCTTAAAAGGTCCAGTAAACCTGGGCTAGATTTATGCTGATGTAAGTTGTATTGGTACAGGTACCAGTAATAGTACATTTATGCATTATTTTGCCTTTTTTTAACCTCGACTTCGATGGTTCGGAATTTTTACTAATCCGGAACCGGTCTGGTTCCAAGCTTCCCAGATTAGCAAGATCCAACCTGTACTAATGTTATACTAATCTGTATGGTTGTGTATACTAAGCAATGATGAGTATAATTACTACAGTAAAACCTCAATCAACCGACCCTCGATTATCCGACTTTCGGATTAATTGCCAATCTCGGACCCCTAAAATAAATACTGCTTATGTGCCGTACAGTACTTCATTAATAAAAGTTTTGTTATTAAAGAATTATGTTCTTTGACTTTTCCTACTATTATTCACGGTTTCTGTGCTGGTTCATATTTATTTACTAAAGTGGTTAATGTTTTAAAGCAAATGCTATTGAAATATGAATGGCAAATGAACAAAAATGAATAGAGGAACTTAAATGAGGTAGGTTAGGGATAGGTACTTTAAAAAGGTATGTTTTATTTCCGTAGACTTTATTTACTATTAACCGACCTTTTGGATTATCCTTCGGCCCTTTCCCCTCATATTTGGGCGGTTAATCTAGGTTTTACTGTATACACTATAAATGATCATCGCAGTTACACCATCATAATATATTTACCGGTACCTGAACTTGATGTATGCAGTATGCGGGTTGTGTTATACTTGCAAATTATATCAAACAAACCACGAAAATGTTAGCCTACCGAGCCCGACTGTGGGGGCTTGCCTATCCCCTTGCTGGAAAAGTTCCAATGGATGCCCTTGTTACGAAATGAAGGTGGAAGAGAATGTTGTTGTGAAAATTAACCCATTTTTTTCTCCAGTGCTACAAGAATAAATCAAGCCAAATATTACCAGAACTTAATGCTTTGAAGAATGACTAAACAAAATTATGTTTATTGTGAAAGTACTGTACAGGTACCTTGAATTCATCAGTTCCACAGTGGTATCCTGTTTCATACCTCTCACTATATCTTCAGACTCTGGTGACTAATACTGGCATAATGTACAGAATTTATTGTTCATTTTCATGTTAATGAAATTATCCAATTTTGACCTTCAGATAATGGAGTACCTCATTGGTGGTGACTTGAAATCTCTCCTTACCATCTATGGCTACTTTGATGAGCTAATGGCCATATTTTATGCTGCAGAGTTAGCCCTGGCCCTTGACTATTTACACAGGTAATGTCATGTTATGTTATTGTATGGTTACTCTACTCTACTTTACCAGCTTATGTTATCATAGGGAGTGAAAAGAATGCTTGTGATTATAAAGAAGTTAGAGTGTTTAAACTTGTGTCTGCTCCTGAAGAGAATGAGGCTGTACAGTATAGATAGAACACTTGAAGATTAGGTACCCCAGCTTATTTCACTTGATGACTATACACCCTAACACTATCTGGACAGGGGGTTAGGTTAGATTAATGCTCAAGTGTCTAATCATCGGGTGAAATAAGCTGGAATGTCTAATCTTTGGGTGATCCATAGACAGAATAGTTCACAAATTATGTACTGTACTCTTAACTGTTTTACATAAGTTTCTCTTTTTTTTTCTAGCCATGGTATAGTTCATAGAGATGTGAAGCCTGACAACCTTTTGCTGGACAATAAAGGTCACCTCAAACTGACTGACTTTGGGCTAAGCAGAATTACTCTCCACAAAGGTGAATGATCGATACTATTTGTACTTAACAAGTTTGAAGTTTTGTGGTAACCATGACTATCATCCCCTCATTGCCCTCTGAGTGACTATGGTGTCCTTTGTAGAAATATAAAGGAACAAAGAAAACGCCCTTATCATGTCCTTCAACTCTACTTTTCTTCTCTTTTGGCCATCGTACCTTTTTTCATTAATTGCCATCTTGTCATAATTCAACTTTGACTACTAATCTGCCAGTTTAAGATTTTTCCATGTTGGTGTTTTATCATCATTCCTTCTAAAGTATAAGGGGAAAAGATGTGTGTATACCTCTCAGTGGATCATTGAGTATTACTATCATGGGTGTTTAGCACTTCACAATAAAGTATTTTGTCTATTACAGCAACAAAAGTGTACAGCAATATCACCGTTAACCAGAATCCCTCAAACCCAGAACTCTCCAATAGTCAGAATTGAAATTTGATCAGAATTTTTCCCGAAAATTCCCTAAATTCCAGGTTTGGGAGCAAATTTCGAGGTTGAAAATCAAGAGCACCATTTTCTTAAAAAAAAAAAAAAAAAAATCTATCCAAATATTTATTTCTGGGTCTGGGAGCAAATATCGATTATGAAATACAGTACACTTGCAACTTATGCGGTTTCAATTATATGCGGATTACCCTGGGGGTCAGGTTACAATTTCCAATTTCAAGCGCACCAAACGCTAGCCTTCTAAAGGGTCCACCCCCGCCATCTCACCTCTCTATCTTCAGTTGCCGTGTGGGTATTGTGTATTGTCAGAGTAACACCTGCCTCTCGTGTGTGTCAATTTAGTGAGCTTAAACCTCTCTCATACTCGTTCATAATGCCCAAACACAAGCCAACTCTGTACTGTACATGTACTCAAATGTACTAAATAATTACGAAAAATTTTATGTCTAGTGCAAACTATAGCATATTTAAATTTAAATTAATCACTATCTTACAAGAATCCCAGCAGTGTAAGTTATATTCTCCCAGGTCAGTTCAGCGAAAAACTTAACTCCTCTATATGACAGATAAGACGCACAGGGTTAATGTCCCCGCCGGCTGGTGAATACCTCACCTCACCCCCCACTCCTCCCCCCTGCCTGGCTGTCAACACATCACCTCCTTCTTCCCAGGGGTGAAGGTGGTTTTAGGCTTAAAATTTTTATCTTATAAAATGTCACAGACTAAAGTTAGGAGAATATAATATGCATTGCTAGAATCTTTGCAAGATAGCGAATAATTTGAATGTAGACTTTACACACCTCAAATAAGGGATAAGGGATTGTGGACCTTTATTACATTACAGTAGTGATTTATGAGTTCTAGTGTATATGTACGTATATATACAGGTAGTCCCCGACTTACGACTTACGACCGTCAGGACATACGACCGCGGCAGTCGTGACCAAAAATATTTTTAAATGACGCTCGCATTTTCTATACCGAAACGTTTCTGTCCCGGGCGAGAGCGTGGTGCGGCTGGGTCGCTGCGTGGGTACACTCACTCAGTGGAGCGCTTAGTTGGTGTTTGGCTATCGTATCCTATACTGATCGCTCTGTGAACTTTCGTTATTATCGTATATAATTGACTTTATAATGACTGTAAAGCATAAAAGTGAGAGTGCTGGTGGTGCTCCAAAGAAAAGGAGACAGGCAATTACTTTTGAGATGAAAATGAAGATAATAACACAGTATGAGAATGAAAAACAGTAGCAACAATCTCACGCAACCTAGGTTTCTCACACTCGACTATATCCACTATTCTGAAGGACAAGGAACGTATTCGTGAAGTAGTGAAAGGAACAACACCTATAAAGGGAACTATAATAACAAAGAAAAGACAAGGTCCTATCCATGATATGGAAAAATTATTGGTGATATGGATAGAAGACCAGATGCAGAAGCGTGTACCCTTAAGTGTTCTAACCATACAGGCTAAAGCGTGTACCTTAGCTTTCGTCTTTATTCAAGACATCTTCAGAGGCAACTGAATTACATGGACAGAGAGAGGCTTAAATATACAGGGTGACCTAAAAACATGAGGTCAGGTCATAATGATGACATCCACTAATCCCCACACCAACACACACGTAGAGGAGCTTAAGAGAAGGGTGGTGACGTGACTAGACAGGTCAGGTCAGAAAAAAGGGGACCCACAAAATAATTATCATACATCAAGATCAAAGGTTTTCAAAGCATTTTTAACCTTGGGCCACTGACAAATAAATTTATGTAACATATTATCAGTTTTGAACTGACCATCACTAAGGTTTATTGATTTTAATTCCTTAATCAAACTAGCTTCAACCAGAAGTCTTTCTGTGACACAAGATGATTTGAATACTTCTAAGCTTTTTTCCCAAGCAATGGGGTGATTATTATTCCTAACATGAACGAACAAGGCACTGCTTTCAGATGCAGTTCTGATAATATACTTATGTTGTTTGATTCTGAGCTGCAGTGTTTTTCCTGTCTGACCTACATAATTACAATTACATTGGCTACATGGAATACAATAAACACTTCCATTTACATTCAAACTTGGGCTATTCCTTATTAACATATTGGTAATGGTTGAGTCATACTTGAAAACAACATTAATATTTAGAAGCTTGAGGGACCGAACTAACGGGACAAATTCATCACGATAGGGCAGAGTCAAAATATTCTTAAGTGTAGGAACTTGTCTGGTTAGAGAGGAATGAAAGGATTTTTTAGCCCTTTTAAAGCAACGATCAACAAACACAGAAGGGTACCCAAGTTTCTGTGCAATAGAACGAATGTGTTTAAATTCATCGTCAATAAATTCAGAGTCACAAATACGCAGACATTGTAGGAACATAGCAGAAAAAACTGACATTTTGGTAGACTCAAGGTGATTGGATAAAAAGTGAATGAAACTGTCTACCTGTGTGGGCTTTCTATATACCTTAAATTTATAGTTTTGGCCATTTCTCATGATAAGCATATCAAGAAATGGAAGGGATTCACTTATTTCTCTTTCAATTTTGAATGTGATACTAGGGACAATATTATTAAGCTTGTCTAAAAATTCCAATGGGTCACTGTTTTTAGGCCAAAGACAAAGAACATCATCTACATATCTATACCAAGGAGGAATACAGTCCACTACATTGGGGAGTAATCTAGACTCAAAAAACTCCATATAAATACAGGCTAGAGGAGCAGAAAGACAATTACCCATGCTCATGCCAAATATTTGCTTGTAGAACTTCCCATTTGCTCTAAACACATTGTCAGTTACGCATAACTCTATCAATTTCAGGAAAGTATCATGTTCAATAGTTAAATCTAGCAGTTGTAATTTATCTTTAAGAAATGAAAGTAAGTCTTTCACAGGTACTCTAGTACAACTGCTAGATTTAACTATTGAACTGCATGTGCAGTAAGGGTCTTATTGTATGGTAAATTTGCGTGTGTGTGACTGTGTGGTAGCGAGTTAAATATCAGCTCTTGAGGAGCACTTGGCAACACTCATTTCCACTTCATCTTTCTAATTACCCACACCTTTCTCTCTCCATATTTTAAAATGTTATTTAATGTAATGTTGAAGGGATACAACTTTACTCATTTGTACTTATACCTATCACAATCTCCCTAAAACTACTTCAGGGTTCATGTTTATTCAAGACATCTTCAGATCATGAGACCCACTAATCCCTCACCCAGGAAAGGGTGACCTGATATTCCATCAGCAGGTCAGTAATATGAGACCACTAATCCCCCACCCTAACCTCCACCTGACATTGCATCAGGTTAGGTCAGTTCCATGAGACCCACTGATCCCCCACAACTCCATGGTAGTGGAAAATACCAGTCTTTGCTGTAACACACAGCTTCATTCATGCACTGATGCAGATTTTTTATTTTTAAATATATTTATTTAACTGAACTTTTAGATAAAGTATTCTGGATTATTATAGTAAAGAAGTAGAGTTTCTAACTTAATTAGAACTGCATTTATGGATTCCGGCAGTTTAAACTCGAGTAAAACATCGGTAGCACCCAGAAACATTCTGGGGAAGCGGGCTAGTGTCCGTCTGTGCAAGATGTCTAGTTTAGACGCTCGGAAAAGATTCCAGGGATAAGGAATTTTTCTGGGTCTGAGAAAGTCATCTGGTTAGCCGGAAATCTCTCAATCCCCGAAGTGCTCTGCATCAATTGTTCCAGTTAACGGGATATCACTGTATTACTATTCCATCCCCCATATATTTCACTTCATTTGTCATAATACTTCCTGTCCAGATCTCATCATTAAGTAATTAATAAATGATTCACTAAATTAGAGATGAAATTTTCAGACATATCTGCCAACACACCAACTACTATGCGATCTGGGATGAACTACATGAGAACTCCTGGCCAGATTCTCTCCCTCACTTCCCACTTGTCATTTGTAAGTTGTTTGGAGTAACTACATGATGTTTGTTCATACTGAATTAGTCTATGGAAAAATTTTATGACTCATTTTGAAAATTAATCACTTCAAAGACATACTTAATTTTACATTTATCCTCTTTGCCACTGATCGGCTTGTTAGTTGCTTGGGCTGTTGGTCACATCTCTGTTACGCACTGTTGGCAAGTACTGGGCATGTACTGTCTTCAGAATGTATCTACCTGCGCCAGTGTTGGTCAAGTCTGGTTTTGAATGTGCTCACACTCGTTGCTGCAACAACACTCTGGCTGACTGTTCCAAGAGTTCACAAGTCTCGCTCCAAGAAAGTTTGCTCTGACATTAAAAACAGAACCAGTGTTTTCAATCTATAACATATTTGAGCTTATTACATTTTAATATGGGTCGGATAGTTTATGGAAATCATGTATATTTTCCTTGAGATAATCCATCACTTTAAACCATCTTTCAAACCTCTCAGATGAATGATAAACCACTAATAGATGCCAAAAGAATACAAGACCTCAAATTTCCAGACATTTTAATTTTCCCATGATTAAATCTTTTATGCTCTGACACATGGAAACCTGGATGTTGCCTGGACCTTCTGCCTGCGTGAATATCTCGTGCTTCTAATCCTTGGTACTTTAGATTGTTATATCCCTTCCCATCTTTCTTGAAATCCTAGATTCATCCTTGTTACATAAAAATAAAAGAACCTCAGTAAATATACTGTACCTACATTATTATACAGGTAGTCCCCGACTTACGACTGCCTCAACTTACATCCATCGGTACTTATGACCTGCTCTGACCTTACGACCGTCGGGACATATGACGCCGCAGTAGTGACCAAATTTTTTATTTTTTTCCAAATGACACGCGCATTTTCTATACCGAAACGTTTCCAGTTAATGTAGTCTCCATGTATAATTAGAAAATTATGGGGGCCCGTGTGCATGCAGCTGACTACATTAAAGGTAAGTGCTTAGACACACTGTATCCATTCCTCATTATTTATTACTTTTACTGTACTGTATTTCATTGTAGATTTTTTTTTTAACATTTTTTTTTTTTTTTTTTTTTTATCTATGACGGACTTATGACCATTCGGACTTACGACCTGGATTTGGGTCCCTAACCCCGTCATAAGTCGGGGAGCACCTGTATATACAGTATTGTCTGCATTTACTCGGTTTTTGTTTACGCGCTTGGTCATTTACGCGGCACCTTGCCAGAATGAAATGTTTTAATTACGCTGTAAATTTCATCATTTACGCGGGAAGCGGCGCGGGCAGGGTGCGCACAAGGTCGCCCAGTCAACAAAACATTACCGAGTTCTTCACCCGCCACTCACCACAACCATCCCAAGTCAGTGATAGTGATAGTGAGGATATGGACTTTGAGGGGTTTGACAAAGAGGCCCTGCAACCTCTCCGGTGGATAGTGATACAGGTGATACAAGTGATACAGGTGAAGGCCAATAATCTGCCCTCTGCCTCAGAACCAACCCCAATCCCCGTGTACCCAGCCATCTCTTCTACTAAGTAAGTGTTAAAAAACCTAATATTATTGATATTTCTCTTAATTATTAATTGTGTGTGCATGCCATCATAAAATTAAGATGTTATTTTTCCTACAACGTACGTAACGTAACGTATTGTGTGTGGGTGAAGTATAATTTGTTTATTTACTGAAGATATTGGTTTTTAGCTCATAAAATTCATAGAAATTACCCGGCCAGAATATAATTTACATTGCTGGAATTCTTATAAGATGGTGATTAATTTAAATATAAACATCCTAAAATTTGCATTAGACATTCAAATTTTAGATCTAATTTAAGAATTTTATTAGAGAGAGCAAAAATTTTATCTTTTGTGCAAAATATATGACGTTTATATTCAAATTATTGGCAGTCTTGCAAGGAATCCAGCAATGTCAATTATATTATCCTAACTTTAGTCTGAGGTATTATTTATTACTAAACCTGTAAGCCTAGTGTTTTTCCACAAACATTTCTCTGGTAGGGAGGGAAGGAGGGAGGGACCCAGCGAGCGTGGGAAGAGGGGAGGAGCGGGAGGTGGGGTATTTTGATTGACAGATAGTGTCTGGGTGAAGTATAATTGGATTATTTACTGAAGATATTTGTTTTTAGCTCATAAAATTCATAGAAATTATCCAGCCAGAATATAATTTACATTGCTGGAATTCTTATAAGATGGTGATTAATTTAAATATAAACATCCTAAAATTTGCATTAGACATACAAATTTTAGATCTAATTAAGAATTTTATTAGAGAGAGCAAAAATTTTATCTTTTGTGCAAAATATATGATGTTTATATTCAAATTATTCACAGTCTTGCAAGGAATCCAGCAATGTCAATTATATTATCCTAACCATAGTGTGAGGTATTATTTATTACTGAACCTAAAAACCTAGTGTTTTCACCCAAACATTTCTCAGAGAGGGAGGAGCCAGCGAGCATGGGAAGATGGGGGGGGTGGGAGTTGAGAAAATTATTTGAATGGACATGAACCGGCAACTATTTCTCTTAAATATTAATTGTGTGTGCATACCATCATAAAATTAAGATGTTATTTTTATGACAACATATGTATTGTGTCGGAAAAAGTGTAGTTTGGGGGTCGGCCCAATCTCTATTTCAATTAATCCCATATGTTATGTTATTTTGTTTACGCGTTTCTTGTTTTATGCAGACCTCCACGGGTTCAATTGACCGCGTAAATGAAGACAATACTGTACAGTACTGTATATATGCAGTACAGTAATACACCGATTTACGCGGTTTCGCTTTAGGCGATTCTACATTTACGCGGTACCTCGCCAGAACCGGAATGTCATTTTACGCGGTGAATCTACTCATATACGCGGGTGAAGTATAATTTTTTTATTTATCTCATAAAATTCATACAAATTACCCGGCCAGAATATAATTTACATAGCTGGAATTCTTACAATATGATGATCATTTTGAATATAAACATCATGGATTTTGCATTAGACATACAAATTTTAGATCTATTGTAATAATTTGGTTTACACAAAGCAAATATTTTATCTTTTGTGCAAAATATATGAAGTTTACATTCAAAATATTCCCTGACCTGCAAGGAATCCAGAAATGTCAATTATATTATCCTAACTTTAGGCTGAGGTATTATTTATTACTAAAAATATAAATATACTGTTTTCTCCCAAACATTTCTCTGGTAGGGAGGGAAGGTGGGGGGTGGGGCGTAGGGAGGGAGGGAGGGACCCAGCGATCGTGTGAAGAGGGGGGAGCTGGAGGTGGGGTATTTTGATTGACAGATAGTGTCTGGGTGACATATATTTTTTTTATTTAGTGAAGATATTTGTTTTAGCTCATAAAATTCATGTAAATTACCCGGCCAGAATATAATTTACATTGCTAGAATTCTTACAATTTGATGATGATTTTGAATATAAACATCATGGATTTTGTATTAGACATACTAATTTTAGATCTAATGTAATAATTTGATTTACACAAAGCAAATATTTTATCTTTTGTGCAAAATGTATGAAGTTTATATTCAAAATATTCCCTGACGTGCAAGGAATCCAGAAATGTCAATTATATTATCCTATCTTTAGTCTGAGGTATTATTTATTACTATACCTTAAAATCTAGTGTTTTCACCCAAACATTTCTCAGAGAGGGAGGAGCCAGGGAGCTTGGGAAGAGAGAGAGGGGTGGGGGAGTTGAGTCCATTATTCGAATGGCCATTTACCTGGCGACTGTATTTCTCTTAAATATTAATTGTGTATGCATACCATTATAAAATTAAGATGTTATTTTTACTACAACAGGTATTGTGTCGGAAAAAGTGGAGTTTGGGGGTCGGGCCAGTCTATTGGAATTAATCCCATATGTTCTGTTTTTCACTTTACGCGGTTTTCACTTTCCGCGGTACCCCGTGGGTTCAATTGACTGCGTAAATCGGGGTGCTACTGTATATATATTAATCACTCCCATCAAATTGTCGGAAACAGAAGTGTTAGAATTTTTAGATTTTCTGTTCAGAGTTAAAGGCCTTCAAGGATCTAACAATTGCATCTTATAAATCAGCACTGGTTGACCCTCTGGCGTGGGGTTTTAATATTACTTTGAACCCAAGAATTTATTAAATGCTCAGATTGTCCTTTTTCATTCAGAGACCCCCTCGGCCAAAGAGAATCCCACCTTGGTCTCTAGATAAAGTTAATACATTTCTTATGGGGCTTAATTACAATACAGTATAGTCGACCCTCGTTAATTCGGACCCTTTAATCCGGATTTCGGATAAATCGGACGAAATCTGAACTAAGCAAGGGACTGTCCTTATCAAACTTCTGGTTCTGGGATTGTCCGAGTTGCAATTGGGGTTGCAATTTCAAATTCTGTGTCATTACTAAGGAATAACGAAGTCTCTGGTGCACTGCACTCTACGATTAAGAGAAAACGGAGGACTCAGGTGTCCTGAGGCGAGAGAAAATGGACTCCTATGACGGGGCACTCAAATAAACATACACATAGCTACATGTTTTGTGGACTACCCACTGTACATTATCCTTTTCATCACTTTGTAATATACCTAGTCATGCCTATGTGTGTTTCTGATAATTACCATAACATTATATCTTTAGTGGGTCTGAATGAGAGTGGTTGTACAAACAGAAGCACGTATCTAGGACGTTAACCGGCGCATGACTGTATAATGCAATATTATGCAATATTAACCCCTTAATCGGTTAATTCGGACAATCGGCTAAAACGGACACCCTTCCCCCCCTATTAGTCCGTTTTAACTAGGGTTGACTGTATAGTCTGCATTTATGCGGTCAATTGAACCCGTGGAGGTCCGCGTAAAACGAGAAACGCTTAAACGAAATAACAGAACATATGGGATTAATTGAAATAGAGACTGGGCCAACCCCCAAACTCCACTTTTGCCAACACAATATGTACGTTGTAGTAAAAATAACATCTTAATTTTATGATGGTATGCACACACAATTAATAATTAAGAGAAATATAAATAATATTAGGTTTTTTAACACTTATGTTAGTAGAAAAGCTGGGTCAGCACACGTGGATGGCGGCTGGTTCCGAGGCAGAGGGCAGATGAGTTGCCCTCCGGTGAATCACTTTCACTACTCGCAGAGATTTGCAGGGCCTCCCAGACAAACCCCTCAAAGTCCATATCTTCACTGTCACTATCGCTGACTTGGGCTGACTGTGGTTGTGGTGGGTTGCGGGCGAGGAAGTCCTCAATACTACGTTGACGACTAGCATTGATGTTGTCGAGATAGATCTGGATATACAGCTCCATAGCTTTCGACAGAAGGTTATTAGACACTTCAAACTGATGCTTGTCTGGGTTGTTGTCAAGGATGAGCTTAATTTTCTCCCCCAACTCGATGATTTCCTTCACATTATCATGGCTTGGTCCAGGTAATTCAAGGTTTTTCTCGGGTGGTGGGGGTCCAGCGGAAGCCATTGTGAGGGGAAATGCGCACCACTCACCACGCCGCTTCCCGCGTATGGTCAAGAATGGACCGCTTGGGTAAAAAATGGCTCGGCGCGTCTGGACCTCGCCGCGTAAATGACCAAATTTACCGCATAATTAAAACATTTCATTCTGGCAATGCACCGCGTAAATGACCAAACGAGTAAACAAAAACCGCGTAAATCCTGACTATGCTGTACTGTGTAAATCTGAACCGGGACAGATTGCTCCAGAAGGCAGCCTTCCTTCTAGCAATAGCAACAGGTATGAGAATCAGTGAGCTGATTTCAGTTTCCAATATTCCATCATTATTGGTATTTTCTAAGGAAGATGTCGCCCTTTTTCCTACGGAGTTTAAGAAAAAGGGAAGGGAGAATTTTTAAGCTCAACCTATCAGGATAAAACGGCTAGTATTGTAGATGAGGCAAGGGTTCCTCATATATTGTACCAAGTTAAGAAGCTTCAAGAATGGTTAACCAGATTCCCTAATCGAAACCCCTATGTATTCTCATCACAGGATGGTAAGAAATTGTCTCCTAGTCAAATGATGGAATATTTATCTCAGTTAGTGAGTCAAACAGACCCTGGCAAAAAAATTTTGGCACATGACACCAGGAAATAAGCAGGGTCTGTGGTTTTTCTGCGGCATATGAGCCACAGTCAGATCAAAGAAGTGGGCTTTTGAAAATCTTCAAAAGCCTTTCACAACAGCTATCTTCATCTTTCTCTGAAAGATGCTTCACATGTGGTGGTGCTGGGGTCCCCTCCCCCACCTAGTCAATCTCCACAACCAGGACCTTCTTCCTTATCAGAATAAAGTGGGTATCCTAATTTGGATATGTAAATTAACATTTTATCTTCCGATAAATGTTCCTAATATTGGAAAATATTCCAAAAAGTGTAGAATTATAACCTGGACCTAAGCTAGCAGAGCATTATACACAATGTCACCCACCTCTCCACCTCTTGCTCGGGAATTCAAAGCTAGACGTCGCATTGTGGATTGAACAAAAATATTTAATTTTTTTTTAAAAACAGTTTTTGTGATAAAATCCAGAATGCGACGTTGACATCCCACCCATCTCCACCCCTCGAGAGTTGACATTTGTTTACTGCTCACTCTAGGGTAAGAGATGACGGTAGCAATGCATGTGATGGAGGGTGCGGGAGAGGTTTTGAGAATTACAATTAAATGCCAGGTAGCGACGTGTCCTCCTAATATTACATATTTAAGTAATTATTAGATGTTTTAATTGCCTGCTAGGCATTTACATACTTAGGTATAAAGCTAGACATCGCATTCTGGACTTTATCACAAAAACTGTTTTTTAGAAAAAAAACGGCTTGGTCAAAAAGCTTTTTAAGAGAACTAATATGACGAATAAAGTAGTAATGTAGAGTATTTTGTAATATATAATCTCCTTAAACAGGGACAGCAGCCATCGTCAGTGGACTTTTCATGTTTCTTGCATTCCATTTTTGCACATATGGGGGCAGAGTAGGGAATCTTTAACCAATGGTTAACCCGTACTTGGTTGGCTTATGGAATGTTAAATGTCGCTCCCTGGTCTCCAAAAAGCTCTTTTTTGTTCTTCTTGCATTAAAATTGCAGTGTTTTATATAAAACCTGAAAATAGCATTAATTTTGCCTTTACTCACCATTTTAAAGCGTCCATTCCAGAAGGTTGGGGTTGGAGTTGTGGTGTAATATATCATGTTGTCACATTGAATCATGTTTTCTATTCCTGGAGTTGTGTCTTCACTGTTCCCCTCACATAATTTGATCAGTTTTATCACTGGTATATGTCTAATTTATACATAACAGTGATAAGTGTATCAGTTACAAGTTTATTGCTTTACACAAACATTGTTTACATTGTGAACTGGCAACAACCCGTCTTACTACGCATTACTCCACACACATGCACGGTAGACCATGCAAACATAAATATCTTTATTTTTCACCAAAGTTTCTTCCTTCTACAATAATTATGAAAGTATTTACACATTTACAATGTTTCTTTTTTCTGTTTAGTAATTTATGATGGTATGATATTGCTCAAAGCAGGACATCAAGCACAGTAGAACATCACACTTGCTCCAGTAATACTTGTCTTTGTGCACTTTATCGTGTAACACTGTGTTCTTGCACTTGTGACAAGGACAGGGTTTTTTTAGCCTGTATTGAGGTCAGCAAACTTGGAAGTGGTTAGAAAGAAGCTGCTAGGTGTCTGTGGGTGTAGCGGTGGCAGGGTCAGTAATCAAAGCCCTACACTTCCCCTCACAACTGCCTCACTTCACTCTCTCCTTATTTTGCCTTGCCTAACAGCATCATCTGACTTAGAGGATGGTTTTGGAGGGACAGAGGATGTTGAAACAGGCTGATGTGTCTTGAGAGGTTGCTGTTTTTTATATTTTGAATATATTAATATTTCTGAGCAATTCAGACTCCAATCGGAATTTTAAGAAGTCAAATTCGTTGATCTACATAATGGACCGCTCAGAGAAGGCCACTCATGTACTAAGTAGATCTATGAATTTGACCAATAATGGGTTAAGTGTTAATGAAAGTGATTAGATTGGGCAAGTCTGAAGGAAAGGTGTAAGGATAGGCAAGAGTAAATTTTTATATATTTTTTTTTAAATTCATGTGAAAATTGCAACTGGACAATTTGAACTACTTCATATACTGTATTATAATTCTAAGGAAGCCTATAATGAATTGATTTATAACACATTTAAGAAATCAGAGGACAGCAACAGTACCTTAGGCAGTCCAAGCTTGAGTGACCGGAGTGCCTCCAGCATGGCCAGTGTGCGACGAGCGTCCCTCAGAGGCCACACTGTTAGTCGTCTGTCATACAGGTAACTATAGTTTTTATGTAGCATGGCCATATACAGTACAATATAATTATTAAATGATAAATTGACATCATCATCAAGCTTGAAAAAATATTTGTAGTCATTCAATTTACCTAGAAATGTTGCTGACAGATGATACAGGTTGTACCTCTCTAGTCCGGCAACCTCGGGACCTGACCGGTGCCGGACCATGGAAATTCACCCTTTTCCTGGATAGATAGTGACTTGGGCTTATGCCTGGAAGCACTAGCACCACTTTCTCTGCGTCATGGTCTCTTTGAAGACATATTGAAGGGTTAAATGTCGTATAGTAGCTTCTCAAATTTCGCGAGTTTTTAATTCTTAACGTATTTTATTGGAACACAAAAAAATAAATAAATAAAAATTTTGACGGCGGAAACTTGAATTTCGATGGGTTTGAACGGCCCGCCAACGTGCAGACGACGTGCATAATCGTGTAAACAGCGTCATTTCTTTTATGTACAAAAGATTCATTATTGTTCATTACTGAATGTCTTTTTTATTGAATTAATGTTTATGTGTGCAAAATGAGCAATACAGTTCATTAATAATACGTGAATATTAAAACACACTAGGAAATGACACAGCATTGTTTTCGTTGATTACAAAACCAGTGACTGACTGGTTCTATATATAAAACTGAAGAAAATAAGACCTTGGTTGTAGCTGTAGTAAAATTAATATGGTTGTTTTAAGTAATGTTATTTAATGTTAATAAATGGAACAATAGAAGTAGCTAACGATAATGGTAAAGAAAAAAGAGATCGCATATGTAAGTGCGCATGCGCACACGTGAAAACATATCATCATTACTTTACATAAGAATATGAAAGCAACACTTATTTACTGTTCATATATATTTTAATTAATGTTTCTGAATTTGTTTTTATTGAATTAATGTACGTGTGTGCAAAATTAACAATACAATTTATTAATAATACGTGGAATATTAGAGGAGACGAGACGGCTGCCGGCATTGTTTATGTTAAAGCTTACGAAACCAGTGACTGATTGGTTCTACATATAAAACTGAAGAAAATAAGACCCTGAGTTTAGCTGTAGTAAAATTAATGTAAAAAATGAATATGGTTGCTTGAAGTACCTGTAATGTTATTTAATGTTAATAAATGGAACAATATAAGTAGCTAACCATTAATGGTAAAAAAAAAAGTGAGACTTCTCGTATGTAAGTGCGCACATGTGAAAATATATCGTCATTACTCTACATAAGAATATGAAAGCAACACTTATTTACTGCTCATATATATTGAAGGGTTAAATGTTGTACTCTGTATAGACAAGCAGAGAGAGAGAGAGAGCAGCCGAACTGCCGGATGTGAACAAATCTTAATTTCCCGCGGATTTTTTTTTTTTTTTTAAGGGGGATGAGCCCACCCGGGCATAGGTCACTGACCCACATTGGGGCCTGAGGGGCAAAAATTTAATACTCCTGTAATAATAATAATAATTCAGATAAGTAAACAAATAAAATAAACTACCTATCTACTTATTGGACAAACTAAAATCGTTCCGGACCACGGGAGTTTCCGGACCACAGAATGCCGGACTAGAGAGGTACAACCTGTAGTACAGTAAAACGTTGATTTAAAGCGATTCAATTTAAGATTATCGATTTAAAGCGACACCCACAATTTAGGACAATGTTTTAATTTAAAGCGAATCTTTCCTATTTTGCGCGAGTCAATCTGGCACATCATATTTTAAATTTCACCCTTAATGTTTCTTTAGACACACTACACTGTCCTAAGGGCAAAGCTGTACTGCAAAATAATGTACTAAATGATTAAAAAAAATTTTGTGTAGTGCAAACTATAGCATGTTTATATTCAAATTAATCACCATCTTATAAGAATTCCAGTAATGTAAATTATATTCTCCCCTGTCACTTCTGTGACATTTTGTAAACAACAAACAAAAACTCAATCTAAAGGACATAGATAAACAAATAAATACTTCACTAGACCTTCTGTGCAACTGTCAAACATGTCACTGTCACCTCCCCATCCTCCCTCCCTCCCTCCCAGCCAGGGTTTGGTGGTTATAGGCTTAAAGTTTTTACCTTATATAATATCACAGACTAAAGTTAGGAAAATATAATTTGCATTGCTAGAATCCTTGCAAGACAGTGAATAATTTGAATATAAACATCATATATTTTGCACAAGAGATAAAAATTTTAGCCCTTTGTAATAAAATTTATTAGAACTGAAATTTGTATGTCTAATGCGAACTATAGCATGTATATATTCAAACTAATCACTATCTTATAAGAATTCCAGCAATGTCAATTTTATTCTCCCATGTCACTTCAGTGACACTTTATAAGAGAAAACTTAAAGTCACTCTTAAGGACAGATAAATAAATAAGCACTAGACCTTGGCAACAACAGTCAAACATATCACCTCACCTCCCCCCCCCCCAATCTTCACATCAGCTGATCACTAGTAAACAGACCATTTCACGTCCAATAATTTTAGTTGTGTTGATTTATGAATGTTTGTTTTCACATAATACTACAAAAAACAATGTTTTGTTTATTCTAGGAGATGGCCTGAGGTGCACCTTGGTAGACTGTCAGTCTTTTTAGCATTTTGTGTTTCTCTCAAGCACCAAACTAAATTATTCCATTGAAAGAACACTTCAATTTAGTGCGAATTCAGTTTAAAGTGACCTCTCTTGGAGCATATTTCGTGTTATATCGACGTTCTACTGTATAGTAAATGAAGTTGAAAGATCATTTTATTACAACGAGTTTGGATCACCTGGTGTGCCCAGTCTTCAGGTGACCAGAAAGTTCATAGTAAATATGAACATAAGTAAAATGATGAAAATACGTAGAGAAGGGAGAAATTAACATTAAACTGAAAGGAGGACGTGAAGTTTTCACTTAACTTGGTAGTGGAAGTGTCAAATGAAATTGAGTACAGTATATAGTACAGTGATATCTACGTTAGCCGAAACAATTGGTGCGGAGCACTTCCGGGAATGAGAGATATCCGGGTGACGAAACGATTTTCTCAAAGCCGGAAAAAATCTCTCATACCCGGAATTTTCCAGGTAATGGAAAAATTTTCTTGAAAGTTCCCGGTTTTGCGCATTACATCATCTCTCGAAGCCAGAAAAATATCTCCTATCCCTGGAATTTTCCGGCTACCAGAAATTTGTTCTCTTAATTTTCGGAAAATGTGCCCGATTTTTATCTCTCAAACCCGAAAAAAACTCTCATATCCTTGGAGAAAGTTATACTACGGGGCATCTCAACATATTGACAGTGCAAAAGGGTAAGATTGGCTGGGAGTGAACACACTGGTTAATTACGAGTTGTTGATAGTTTTTTCAATGGTTGGGACCGGGCTGTTGTGGTGTCAAACAGTGATTCATGGATGAGGGATCTCTGGTGGAAGTAGGAGCCGGTGTCGAAAATGGTGCAGAAGCTTCTCGCCAAATTTGCAGATGAGGTCGTGGTGATGATCAGAACGTGTGTGTGTGCACATGCATGTGTGCATGAGAGAGATAGAGGGTAAAACACAAGTAAATGGTCTTGGGTTCAGTTTCTGGTTGGGGCGGATGATTAAGTACCCTTGTACTTTCAGCAGTATTAAATGAGTCCATGCACTGTTGAGTGCTCATGTGAAAGGGATAAGTTGACTCACTAGCTGCTGAATGCTAAGATTTAGATGATCACTGCCTCTCCATCCATCCTACATCATAACATATATATTTCTCCTTTTTATTTTCCAGAGCTTCAGGAGGCACACCAGTTAGTATAACACATGGTTCTTACATCAGTCCAACCACACGAGAGAGGAAGAACAGCATCCCTATTCCAGCAATTGCATTAACTCCTACTATCAGTAAAGCCCTGGCTCATTCACAAAGTTAGTTATCATTGTGTCTCATTGTGTTATCTTTAATCCTCTCTCACTAAAGTTTTGTTTGCCTAAACAAAGGATAGAATCATGTACACATATTTGCACATATATTTATCACTGTACAGTAATTTTAAGTTAGTCATTGACCTGTTTTTTTAACGATTTGGTGAGATTTTTTTTATTTTGATTTAATCTTAGACATGATTGCCTGTGATTGAGATATAGTTACTGCATTTGAGAATTTGTAAATACAGTATATATCAATATATTTTCGTTCTGAAATTACTTTTTTGGCTAATTTTGATATCAGGTTTTTGGAAAGAAGTTCTGTAGTTTTAAGCTTGAAGAAAGCTGGTTTCCCAGTATCTCTGTGGCCATCTTCACATAAGGGAAGGGATAGTCACTTACATAACTGCTGGTATCATTGAAAATAAAATATGCCAGTAACAGTTTGAACACTATGACTATCAAATGGATTGGGTGTAACAAATTTTTAATAGCTGGGAAAAATACTTCTATTGTCTTTATTATTTATACTTATATAGAAATATTTTGTTTCAGGAACTCCAACTTCATCCACTGGTCTGGCAGATTTAAAAAAGCAATTCCTTTTTGCAAGTGACTGCACTCCTATAAAACAAAGTGAGATTGAAGTAACTAAAAATAACTCGTGTATATGCGATCATGCCTCACAAAAGTGTCATTCCCCAGGTAGATCATCAATTAAATCTCCCATGATATGTCCTTCACCAAAAGAAGGAGACATCACTAGTGACTTTGATGTGTCTGGGTCCAGTGTAGGGCATGTGAGTGGAATAGACCCCTTATCTGTGTATCCTGCAGGGGATAACAGTCTTGAAGATATCAAGGAGGAGCTCTCTGGAGATCTGAAGTCATCAGATGCATCAAATATTAGCACCAGTTCACCAAATAAATGTTCTACCAATAATAAAGGCCTGAACTTCTTAATGGTAGCTCACACACCTGTTAAAATATCAACAGACTTACAGAGGAACTCACAAAGAGATTCCAGCGTTGTTATGCACGAGCACAGTGTAAAACAGCATCCTGATGATAGTGTCCATAATATCAACAAGGCTGAGAAGGAAGGTCATAAATCCTTGGGCACACATCAAGACAGAACTACAGAAGTAATAGTTGGTCGCACAGTTAGTGAAAGTGAGGACATGCTCGGGCTTATCGTCAGGAGACGTAATCGTACATCCACTGAATACAGTGACGTCTTCCCAGAAGAAATGGTAAATAATGAGACAGACAGTGGAGATGTCTTTGGAACATTTTTGCCAAAACATCTTGCACCAACTGTAGAGACAGAAGACATGAAGGCTCCAGATAAGTGCCATCCTAGACTACGTGCATTATCACAGCTTACCCATCATGTGTCACCAGTAGGAAACCCAACTATGAATATGTCTGCAATGTCTAATGTTGTCTTCTCTAGACAAATAGCCACAAGCTCACCACTTCCTTCAAATTTTGGAATGAGTGAGGAGGAAACAGATTGTTCGCATGCAAATATTGGAGGACATTCTGGATTACTTGATAGCATACTACCAACATGTGAAACCCAAAAGTCCCCAAGAAGCATTAAGGATATGTCCAGTAAAGAAGTACTTAACCCTGAGCACACTACAGAATTTACTCTATCGTTACAAAGTAGTGCCTGTGAGCGGAAGGAAAGTACTAAACTGGAAGAATGTATTAGTCTTGGTGAAGGAAATCATTCTAGTATCACCACATCTCACAGTTCAGGAAACTTCAAGATTCCCTCACAGGCGAGAGGTATTAAGCGTCCCATAGGATCTAGTAATGCCAGCCCTCCTGCAAATCCTACAAGAATGGCTCCCTCTACAGGGCTTACAGGAAACTTTGAAGTCTTGCAAGTTGCCAATTCAGTCCCTAAAAGACAAGATGTGAAGAGAAGTCCACATCCCATAGTTGGACTAAAGTATAATCAAGACCACAGCAATGAGAGCACTAGTATTACTGTTAATGAAGGAACCAGGTATAGTATGTTATTCCTGTGTACTTAACAAACTTAGGTATTTTGAATTATAAAAGTAAGGTCTCTGTTAGCCTGAATCTTTGTTCTCTGGAACTCTCCATTACCCAGAAATTTTTTTTAGCACATTGTGAAGAATCTCTTCATTCCAGGCATTCAAACTAATTTCCAAGAGATTGCATAGACTACTAGCATTATTTTAACTAAACAGCAATCATAAGTAGTAAAACCCCGATAAATCAGACTTCAATATATCGGAATTCACTTTTTTCAGATTCTGAGATGCTCTGGTCACCAGAAATACAAAGAAAAAAAAGTTTTACAAATAAGGAAGATTATTAAATAAATCTTATGAAGTGAACCACACTTACAGAAAACTGTACAGTGGTCTAATCAGATTTGCTATAAGCCTACTGAGAACTAAGACACTTGGGTATGTAAGCAGGCTGGGGCTGATCAGGTGTTGCTGCATTCGTCAGATTTGTTTATTTATTCAGTATTATATTCTCATATGATTGGCCTCTTATGGTTTATGGTTCATCATGATTAATATAACATCAGTAAAAAGAGAAAAAAATGCAATACAGTGATCCCTTGGTTAACGAGCGCCTCGGTTAACGAGATTTCGGTTAACGATTTACCTTCCATAAGATTCTTAATTTCGGTTAACGAGCAATCCCTCGATTTACGAGTTTTTTACGAGCCGACCTCAACATGTTTTCTCTTGCATTTGGCGGTCCACCAGCTGTAGTATTAGACAGACAATACAGTAATCGATTTTAGGGCTTAAATTCCTTACTATTTTAGTAAATATCAAGAAGTTTATACTATTCAATAGATTTAAAAGTTTAATATTAATTTTTTTTGTCATTTTAACAATTATTGAACATAATTGAAGGCAAAGAAACTAGTTTTATGCGCGCCATTCAGCCTGGCAACACACCAAACAGGCGCCAGTCTCTCTCTCTTTTCAGTGGAGGTAACATCTTGCTTGAGACTCCCTTCAACTAAATGCTTTTTTTATGTGTTTGCAAGCAAATTATTGGTCATTTTGAAATTTATTTTACATATTGACAATATATAATGCAGTGCAGCGTTGATTTAAAGAAAATAATCTTGAATTACACCAAGAGAACTAAAATTTTATGGGTGAAATGGTGCCATGGGGTGACTTCTCTTCCACCCCAATGCCTTCTCTTCTCCCTTCTCCTCCACCCCCATTCTAATTCCCATCATCATCACCCAGGAGCCCTCTACATACACACCTCAAAGTACCGTATATCTCGGCCTATAAGGCGTCGGGGTGCATAAGACGGCCCCCCCAAATTTCCATTTAAAAAGTAGCTTTTGAGCTCTATTCGCTGTATAACACCAGTACCCCAAATGCGCCACTTACCCACTGACTCAGTAGTCCTTTACCAACCATCCTTGGTTTTTTAAAATAAGGCCAATTCACTTCAAGTAATGTCATCAAATGTTACCCGCTGGTGTAGTGTAAACACTAGTGACGTCACTGAAGCGACTGCTATTTACCGGTAACTGGAACTAATGTCTGTGTCGAGTAAAATTTTTCCATTTACTTGAAATATATATATATATATATATATATATATATATATATATATATATATATATATATATATATATGCTACTGTATATATATATATATATATATATATATATATATACATACAGTATATATATATATATATATATATATATATATATATATATATATATATATATATATATATATATACACACAATTGTACCCCACTTAGCAGTCCAATTAGGGCCCAGGGGTCAGCGTTAAGTGAACAACAGAACATATGGGATTAATTCCAATAGAAACCGGCCCGACCCCCAAACTCCACTTTTTGAAGGCACATACCTATGTTGTAGTAAAAATAACATCTTAATTTTATGATGGTACATGCACACAATTAATACTTAAGAGAAATAGAGAAATACAGTCGCCAAGTTAATGTCCATTCAAATAATGGACTCAACTCCCTCCCCCTCTCACACTACACTGCTTGGGGGAAAACCACTAAATTTTAATAAATAATACCTCAAACTAAAGTTAGGATAATATAATTGACATTGCTGGATTCCTTGTAAGACCAGGAATATTTTGAATATGAATGTCATATATTTTGCACAAAAGATAACATAGTTAATTTGAGAAAAAATTTTATCTAAAATTTGTATGTCTAATGCAAAAATATGATGTTTATATTCAAAATGATCACCAAATTATAAGAATTCCAGCAATGTAAATTATATTCTGGCTGGGTAATTTGTATGAATTTTATGAGCTAAAACAAATATCTTCAGTTAATAAAAAAAAATATATATTCTTCACGACACTATCTGTCAATCAAAGTACCCCACCTTGCCTCCCCCCCTCTTCCAACCGGGCCAGATGGTCGGTCAGTCCCAACCCTCCCCCCCACCCCCCACCAATCCTCCCTTCAAGAGATGTTGGGTGAAAAAACTAAATTTTAACATTTAGTATTAAATAATACCTCAGATTAAAGTTAGGATAATATAATTGACATTGCTGGATTCCTTATAAGACCAGGAATATTTTGAATATAAATGTCATATATTTTACACAAAAGATAACATATTTACTCAGAGTAAACATTACATCTAAAATTTGTATGTCTAATGCAAAATCTATGATGTTTATATTCAAAATGATCATCAAATTATAAGAATTCCAGCAATGTAAATTATATTCTGACCGGGTAATTCGTATGAATTTTGTGAGCTAAAACAAATATCTTCAGTTAATAAAAAAAAAATATTCTTCACACGGTAACAGATGGTAGGTTGGTCCCTCCCTCCCCCCCACCCCACCACCAACCGTCCCTACCAGATGTGTGGGAAAACCAGAATATTTACATTTTTAGTAATAAATAATACCTCAAACTAAAGTTAGGATAATATAATTGACATTGCTGGATTCCTTGTAAGCCCAGGAATATTTTGAATACAAATGTCATATATTTGCACAAAAAATAACATATTTTCAGAGTAAACATATTATCTAAAATTTGTATGTCTAATGCAAAATCTATGATGTTTATATTCAAAATGATCATCATATTGTAAGAATTCCAGCAATGTAAATTATATTCTGGCGGTAATTTGTATGAATTTTATGAGCTAAAACATGCGGTGGGGCGATTCTAAAAATAGCTCGGCGGACTTCTCTTCGGCAGTATACGTGGAAAAAAATCCGCGTTAAGTGAAAGTTCAGCTCTGGCGAGGCACCGCATATCAGTGAAATCGCGCTAAGCGAAACCGTTAAGCGGGGTATTACTGTATATATATACAGTGGGGTATGCTATAACGAATCTAATTGGTTCTAGAACCTTGTTCGTTATAGCATTAGTTTTATAGGATTAATCGTTCCAGGCCCCAAAATACAAACTTAACACTGAAAATATAATATAAAATTGTAAAAATTTTAAAAAGTGCATAAATATGCATCTAAACCCTGAAATAAAGAATATCATTAATATTTGTAATAATAAAACAATAAATTAGAAAAAAAAAAAATTATATGTTAGATTTGTAGGAGTTTAGATTGGTTATAGCATTCTCAATTTTATAGGTAAAACAGTTAGATTTATAGGAATAATAAGTAGTAGGATCAGTTAGATTATAGCATACCCACTGTACATACATACATACATACATACATATATACATACATATATACATACATATATACATACATATATATATATATATATATATATATATATATATATATATATATATATATATATATATATATATATATATATATATATATATATATATATATATATATATATATATATATATATATATATACAGTGAGGTGCTATAGCGGATCACGAGCAGTTTATGTGAGGCTCTTGACAGTCTAACATTAATTTAATTTTTATTTTATTTTAAAATATTTCAGGGTTTAAATTTTCAGTGTTAATCTTGAACAGGTTCTAGAATAATTATTGCTAATATATATATATATATATATATATATATATATATATATATATATATATATATATATACATATATATATATATATATATATACAACAAAATATATGTACAAAAAATAAATGTTAAATGAATTATTTATGGTGCATTAGGGTACTGGTCACTTCAGACACAAAGACGGGCTATAAATAGCCTTCTTTATCTCCCCTCCATCTCACCCTGAGCCAGAGGGAAGGGTGGTGGTAAATAACATTTGTTTGCTTATTTTCCATTTACTTGAAATAGATTTACCGAATTATTTGTTTATTTATTTAAAAGTCATTTACTGAATATTCTATGTAAAAAATATATTTTTAATTAATTATTTATAGGAGATAAGTATTATGATCAGTAAATATATGGTATTACTGGCCACTTCAGACACAAAGACGGGATAAAAATAGCCCATCTCCCCCTCTTCTTACAGCTGCCAATGGGAAGCGTCTTGGTAATTAAATTTGATGTTTATTTTCATTGTTTGTCTAATTTATCATGTATCAAAGTAATATTACTAAAAATTGTGTAGGTAGTAGGCAGCTACCAAACAGGTAGATACTACCGCCTGGGAAGATATTGGAAGCATAATGTGTTGTCTAATGGTAGACCCTGCTGCCATATGGCATTACGAAAATTGTGACCAAGTCCCAGGTTCAGCGCTGACCTGACTTTCTGCCTCATTTACACACAATTGCAGTTTGAATTGTTCCTCTAACTTTGACAACACAACATACATACAGTATATTATTTCTCACTTTTGATCTTTTTTTTACTTTTTGTATTTATTTATGGTTAGTTACTTAAAATAAGGCCAATTCACTTCAAGTAATGGCATCAAATGTTACCAGCTGGTGTAGTGTAAACACTAGTGACGTCACTTAAGCGTCTGTATTTAACTGTCAGTAGTTTCAAGAATTAATGCAGTCATTTACTGAATATTCCTTGTAAAAAAATAAATTTTAAATT